TTAGGGAGCCCTTGTTCCGTCTCTTTTGGGGAAATTCATCTGGTCCACAGAGACAGTTGCCAGCAAGATGCCACCTTCTGTACCTCACCCAAAGGGTGGAGCTCCTTAGGAGAGCCAAGGGACTCTGTCATTTTGTTCATCCTAGGAACCAACTGGACCTGGCATTTGCATCTTATTAGTGAATGCATTAGACCTCAGTTTTCCCCACTAACAATGGGTCTACCAGATCCAGAGACAAGATAGTTAAAACTTCCTGAGAAGTTTGGGAAACAACTCAGAATGTTTTAAAACCTTCTGTGAAGTTCTTTGCTTTCATGTGAGAAATCTCAACCATAGAGTTTAAGTGATGTGGTTTAGACATCCGTCCAGAGCATTAAGAAACAATTCTAAAAGAAAGGAAGGATGAGAGTCTTGTGATACAGACAAGACCCGTGAGCTGAGGGATGTAGTGAGGAGATGGTTGACCAGGGCAGCGTGGGGAACTCATCAATGATGGGCAGGTAGAGGGCGAAGCCAAGACAGGACCAGGCAAGTGCTGCTGCCTCCATCCTTCGGAGTCCATCCTGTATCCTTGTCCCTTTATAGGCAACTCTAGAGCATGAGAAGCCGGAGGCGAGGCATGAAGGGGAAGTTGCTGCATGGTGTCTTGTTATGAGTTGCACATGTTGGGGTCCCTGGGTCACACGGAGGGTTCAGAGCATCCAAGAAGAGCCCAGTTGCTCATTTGTTGGGGCTGCTTGGCTGGAAAGGTTTTGGCCAGTGACAGGAGGTGAGATGATGCTAGTGTCAAAGCCGTAAGGACATGGAAAGATCTACAGATTAATAGTTCCTCCCACAGAGCAGATCTGATGTTCTGCTGGTCACAGAGGGTGACACCTACGGGTGATGTCACAGCACCCTGAGCACACAGGCCCCACTGAACCGCATCCTGGGTGGAAAGGACCATGACGTCATGTTGCTCGGACCGCTTCTGGGGAAATGATTCGTGAAGACGGAGGTGGGGGAGCCAGGAGTTGCTGCCACTAAGGGACCGAGCTTAGCTGGTCGTCCACGTGAGCCCATCTTTAGGGACCATGCCATTCGCTTTCGCCTTTCTCGGAGCAGACATGCCTAAGGTTCCTCACAGGTGTTTTGACTGTGACCTATCTACTGATGCCGTAGAGTCTTCAGTAGCCTGAGCTGTGTTTGATCCAGACTCAGATGGACAGAATGGAACTGGGGAAGTCTGGGACATGACAGACTTGACATGATAGATAGTCGGCTTTTAAATCACTGTTTCACTCATCAAACATTCACCAGTCCCTACTATGCCATTAAAATCTTGTTTAACAGTTGGGTATATAAATGAATGCACATTAGACATAGGGTGTCTCTATAAATCAGGAGCCTTAAATGTCCTTATTTTTTGGCCCAGAAAGTCTATAGCTAGGAAAATATCTTATGGGGAAAAAACCTCATTTGTTGAAAAAGTTTTATGCATATAGATATTTGGTGAAACATATTTATAGCAATTGAAAAGTGAAAACAGTCCAAATGTGCTACAGTAGTGTATGACAATATTAATACACTAGGCTAATGGATGAGGAAATTAGGCAGCTCTTAAAAATACTGGAATGATTTGGAAAAGTCTTGTGCTGTCAAGTGTAAAGAAAAATAAAAATTTGCATTCATATCATGACTACAATTATGTCCCTTCCCTTTCCCACATACATGATAAAAAGAGATAAAAAGCAAGTAAGTAAATGGAACTATCATAAGCTTAGGGAAAAATGCACTTGAAAGAAATAAACCAAATTAATAGTCATTAGGTTTGGATAATAGAACTTTTCCTACCTTTAGGGAAATTCATTTTATTCAGATTGTGCCTGAGTTCATTTATGCCACAATAAGACAGGAAGAATGTAGATGAACGACCCCCGCACCGGCCTCCGCTCCACATCCTTACTTGCATTTGCCATGCTGCCTACCCAACTTTCAGAAGTGAAACAATTCTTTATTCTTTTCTGTATTTTATATATATTTAAAATCAGCTTTAACTACTTTTGAGAGTATTCTACAGTCAACATTACAAATTATGATTTTTAAAAAGCCCAATTAGAATTTAAAACACTAGCAACATTGCTTTCTCTCCACTCCTCTAAGACTCCCTCTTATGCAGTGGATGAAACTTTTTGAGAAGATGTGATGCCTGAGTAGCAACAGGTATTTCCCCTCATGAGGGGACAAGCCCAAAGAAGAAGAGCCAACGAACTGTTGAGGGAAGGGGAGATATTTTAAGAAGAGTTGTTAATGATGTCATTGAGGTGCTAGACAAACCCTGGAAATGCCTTGACTTTACAATAAGGAAACAGGAAATGTCCTAGGATTCTTAAATAGCAAGGGCTTCCTCTAAAATTTATTTACTTCCACAGTTTCTAAGGGCAAATTATTACTACAAGAGGTGAATTTGTTATCATATTTAGTTGTAAGTCATCTTTTCATTGTTATAAATAAGTTGTGACAAACACTGATATACAGATGACCTCATCATTGTGCTTATGTCCATAGGATAGATCTCTGGCAGAGAATTTTTCTGTTTAAAGGGTAACAACATTTCAAGGGTCACCATATTAGCTCCCAATTAGCCCTTCTGGAAGGTCTTGTAGGTCTTCATAGAACCATTCAGCTTCAGCTTCTTCAGCATCATGGTTGGGGCATAGACTTGGATTACTGTAATATTGAATGGTTTTCCTTGGAAATGAACTGAGATCACTCTGTCATTTTTTAAATGCAAGTACTGCCGTTTGGACTCTTCTGTTAACCATAAGTGCTACTCCATTTCTTCTAAGGGATTCTTGCCCACAGTGGTAGATGTAATGTTCATCTGAATTAAATTCACCCATTCCCATCCATTTTAGTTCACTGATTCCTAAATGGTCGATGTTCACTCTTGGCATCTCCTGTTTGACCACTTCTAATTTGCCTTGATTCATGGACCTAACATTCCAGGTTCCTATGCAATATTGTTCTCTATGTCATCAGACTTTCACCACCAGACACATCCACAGTTGGGCGTCGTTTGCACTTTGGCTCAGCCTCTTCATTCCTTCTGGAGTAATTTCTCTGCTCTTCTCCAGCACTTTGGGCACCTACTGACCTGAGGGGTTCGCCTTTCAGTGTCATATCTTTATCCCTTCTCATACTGTTCATGGGGTTCTCAAGGCAAGGATGTTGAAGTGGTTTGCCATTCCCTTCTCCAAACCAGGGACTAGCTATTTTGTGTCGGTTTCAGCCTGTTGATGGTGATGCCTGCAGGCACTTGCCTGGACTGTACTTTTTGTGGGGGCCCCACAGGTATTTCTCCAGCTGGAGCCAGTGTTGAAGCTGGACTGGCCATTGAGGTTCTTATTAAGACGAACCTCAACAACCATCAGGCGACTTTGAAAGACAAGGTTTGTTTCTCAGAGTCCCAGAGGGTACAAGGTCTCACAGAGAGAGGAGCTCAGACCTGGGGCTCTGCCTTTGCTGGGGTGAGGGTGGGGTGCCCAGGGTTTTGCAGGTTCACTCTTTATTGGTGAATTTAAAAGATAAGAGAGAAAGTATAGAAGGGAAAAGTGAAGCCGCTCAAATGGTCAGTTATCTAGGTCATCCAGAACTTTCTAAAAGGGGAACTTCATGGGTAGGGCAGCCTGGCCCGTGATCTAGTTCTGTATAAGGTGATGTGCTTATTCAAGATGGGTATCTTCAAAATGGATGCCTCACAGTCAAAAGCTTAAGGTATAATGTTTGAGAAATGAGCCGAAGTCTGAAAGGCCAGCCTCACTCCGGCCCCTTCTGCAGCTGAGAATTCCCCAGATCTGCTTCCCGTTGCAGGGTGTGGTTTTAGCTTGGGGGGGGCCTTCTCAAGACTCCATGGTATTATGCTCTAGGTCAGAGCTGTGTTGTCGGGACAGCTGGGGGTGGGTCCCAGAAGGTTCAGTTCTGTGGGGAGATGCTTGGTGTACAGACCTGCTCTTGTGAGAAAGCGCCTCATGAACTTGTCACAGGGTCACACCAGCCTCTCACCTCCTCTCACTGGGGAAACCATTTCCCCATCACGAAAGCAACACGACCGTTCTTGCAAATACGCTGAGCCTTTGTGGTGACCCAAAGCTTTCCTGGCTTCTGCCACTCACAGCTGATACCAACGCTGTGATGAAAAATACACCCCCCGCCTCGGTCTCCACAAGTTTCCGTCCTCTAGTGTCCCAAGGCTGCCTATAAAGAGAGGATGCAGCTCAGACCCCAGCAGGAGACTGCGGCTTTGGGTCTCCGGGTCCAGCTCCACTGGCCCCACCTGACCCTCTCACCCGCCCGGTGTCATGGAGCTCCCCGGGGCCGCCCTGGCTGTCCTGCTGCTCACCGCGGCCCTCTCTGCTCTTACCGGCTCTGCCAGCCGTGAGTCCGTCTTCCCTTCCTTTAGGCCTGTCCCCCACTCTTGGCCGGGGCTTGGGCCACAGGGCCGAAGTCTTTGACCTGAGCCCTTAAGCAGAGAGCTTCAGAGAGACTTCAGACACTATTTCCTGAGCAGAACTTTCCTTCCCAGGGGGGTTTGTAGCAGTTCTATTCTCTGGCTCTGAGAGACAGTGGTGCGGAGGCCCATTTTATGGATTCCTGGGAAAATGAGGCCCAGGCGGGATTCTGACCAAAGGTGGAATCTGTGTCCAGTGGGCTCCCAGTGTAGCCTTTGCTCTCCTCAAGAAGTCAGTGGAGACTCCCCAGGGAGAGATAGAGAAAAAAATAAAGTTTGTTCAGAAAACTAAATTCTTCACAGAGAGACGTGGAAACACCACATCCGGACAGACAAAGTATGTGAAACGTCACAAGAGAGACCCAGAGATAAAAATGTCAAGGAAAAGAAGAAATGCCCCCATCCCCACCCCCCAGCGCTGTCTCCTGCAGGTCTGCCTGACCCTCGAGGGGCAGCTGGCTGCCTTTCCCCCTGGACAAGGACTTAGCATGGTCTGTCCCGTCTCTCACAGTTGGTGCCATCACCCCAACGGACTGCTGCTTCTCCTTCGTCTCCCGGCAGATCCCGCGCAAATTCGTGGACGACTATTATGAGACCAGCAGCCAGTGCTCCCAGCCTGGCGTCGTGTAAGGGCCAGCCTTCCTGCCCGCCCTGGGGAAGGAGCCTGGGGGTCTGGACCGAGGCACCTCCTCGGAGCTCAGAACACCGGGGGGCGGGGGGGGGCCCACCATGTTTTCTCGCCTGGTTTGGGGCCTGCGGAGGGTCCTGGGGGGTCTGCCCCTGGGCAGAGGGAGGAGAGGAGAGGGGTGACAGCAGGAAATTGCCCTCCCCTCTCATTTGCCAACAACGATGCTGGCTCTCCGAGGGGACCCCCACAGGAGACCCAGGAAGGTCTGTGAACCCCAGGGTGAAGGGGACACGATATGAGCATGTGGACAGGCCCCGAGGTGTCCGGGGCAGAAGGAGGGGGGTCCCTGGGGCCCAGGATCCCCCCCACTGCACTCACCAGTGTATAACCCTCCCGTTCTTCTCCACAGCTTCAAGACCAAAAGAGGCCGGCAGGTCTGTGCCGACCCAAGTGAGGACTGGGTCCAGGAATACATTGCCGACCTGGAGCTGAATCCCTGAGTGGCCCGGGAGCTGCAGGGAAGATGTTCCCTCTATGGACAGTCGGGGGAGCAGGGCGATGACCCTGGGGCTCCAAAAGGCACCTCTTCTCTGGGTCACACCCCTTCCCCAGCCACTCACGGGGGCCCTCCTTCACTTTAATGTCTCCTATTTAACCTCTGTCATTTATTTCCACCGTGGAAGTGTGTGATGTCATGCATACCTGCTCTGACCCCCGTCACCCTCTTGCCCACGCATCCCTCCCCTTCCTCCGTAACTGTCCTCACCCTCAGCACGTGGGTCAGTCACTGTGATCGGTCCTCTCCTGGAGGCCAAACAGCAAATGCTGGTCGAGTGGTTTTGCCCAGGACCGTGACTAAAAACGTTGAAGGCTCTTCTATAAAAGGTAAACCAGCCTTTTCCTTGTGGTGACTCTCTTGATTTTGCTTTTCTAGCAGCCAGAATCATGGGTAGAGACTAATATGGGGTGAGGGGGGAGAATAGGGAAACATGAAAAGGGGCTGACCACAAGAAAGGAAACACATCCTAGAATGAGAACGCCAGACATTCCCCTGTCCTGGAAAGTTAAAACTGGCACATTAATTTTTTAAATTTATTTTTATTTTTAAAAAATATTTCTTTGTTTATTTTTGTTTGTGTGGGATCTTAGCTCCCTGACCAGGGATTGAACCCGTATTCCCTGTATTGGAAGGTGAATTCTTCACCACTGAACCCCCAGAGAAGTCCTGACATGTTATTTTATAACCAAAGCATTATTTACCTACTTAAATGAAAACCAAGGTGGTGTGTATTTGTGAACACAATTGCATTTTTGTATATGATTTCCTCAAAATAATGGCTCACACTTGTTGAGGGCTTATCGAGTGCTAGGTTTTATGATCAGTGCTTATAGTAGTGCTATGCCAACTGCTTACCTTGGTGACAGGTAAGCCAACCTTGCCTGCAGTCTAACAAGAATACCCTAGCCGCCAGTTGATGGAGAGTCTGGCTCACCTTCGCCATTGTTCTGCACTCTGCTTTTTGGGGGAATATTTTTCAAGCCTATATCTGAGCTGACTTGGGGGCTAGAGTGACCAGAGTTAAATTAAAAAATATGGGATGAAGAATTCTTTAGCATAAGGATATCCCATGCAATTGTTGGGACATACTTATACAAAAATTATTTGTTGGGTATCTGAAGTTCAATTTTAACTAGGATTACTGTATTCTACCCGGTGACCCTACTTGGGGTGCACACCTCTCATTAAGGCTGCCTGTTTCCTGTTGAAGTTGGGTGCCTAAGGATTGGCTTGAATGCAAGTACTTTGCAACATTGAATTCACATTAGAATCACTTGGTGGTTGTTTAGTTGCTCAGTCGTGTCCAAGTCTTTGTGACTCCATGAACTGTAGCCCACCAGGCAAGAATACTGGAGTGGGTTGTCATGCCCTTCTCCAGGGGATCATCCCAACCCAGAGATTGGCAGGCAGATTCTTTACTGCTGAGTCGCCGGGGAAGCCTCAGAATCACTTGGGAGAGCTTTTTGAAAACTTCATTGCCAGGAGCTCGCCTCCAAAGTTAGGGCTCTAATGAGATCTAGGTGTAACCTGGGCATCAGTGATTTAAAAATCTTAGTAGTGCACACCTAGTTTGAGAAGTGACGTTGGGGTGTAGTCATGGCCTGTTTTTGGCTGGTCTTGGAAGTTTCAGAGGTGATACAGCTCTCTCCCGGTTTTTCAAGGCTTCTGATCTGTTTTTCTTGTCAGGTTCGTTGGATGGTTAATTAGCAGAAAATCTGTCCTGTCAGCTACTGTTACTTTCATAACGGGATTTTAGGACTCCTCTCTCATAGCACAGTACTGGGAGCTCTGGGCATCCCGTTTCCCCACCCCTCTCACCCATGTAACTGGTTCCGGGCTCCACACTGCCCTCTGCTGATGAAACGATGCCACAGGCAGGGAGGTTGCCCTGATCAGCTCCCTGCCTCCAAACGCATCCCACCAGCCCACCTCCTCACAGGGTACACGAGGGTTCATTTTGTTCACAGGATGAATTTCTTAAAGGAGGGGTCTGAGAACAGGATGAACTGGGCTGTTTATGGATTCCACTTTTTGTCCTTTCTAGTCTCCCATCCTGTCATTTCTGCTTATATTAACATTAGCTTGGAGGGGAGAATTCTGCTTTTTCAGATGACTGATTCTCAACCAGCAAGCAGAAAGGGTTTCTCTTAAGCAAACTATATTTTTATTCCTTCTCTGCTACCGGAGGAGCCAATTTCAAGGTGAGCTAATCTCTTTCTTAGCGGGCTTTGCTGATTTATGCAAGAAGTAAACATTCTTCGACACCCTGAATTTTCCTTTTTGGTGTAACCTTGGTGAGGCAGATGGCCTTGGTGAGAATATATAAGAAGCCATGGGGATGGCCAGCTGTCATGCTGGTTAGAGATGTCCTCCCTGACTTTGACCTCAGCTACTGCCCTCGGCCAAATCCACTTTTGGGGTCTGTTGCCAGTTCGGGGTATTTTGAATTGCTGTATCAGAAAAGCTGGCTCAATCTGACTTAACTGATAAAGGGAGCTTGTTAGTTCACATAATTGAAGTTTCAAGAAATGAATTACCTTCAGGCAAAGCTTGATCCTGTGGTCCATAAAGTATCACCATGCTTCTTTATAAATTTCTGATCTCCCTTCAATTTAGGAGCTTCCTCTTAGGACAGCTACTGTAGAGTGAGTCAGCTTGCTTGCAGTCCCCACCCTCCTTGAGACCCCTTTGTGGGGTTCCAAGAGAAAAACCAATGACCTCTCCACACAAAGGCGGAACCCCCCAGGTGGGCCACTCTTTCTTCTTCCTGTAGATGCGACTTTCTGAGCCAGACTGAGCAGGAGAGCGGAAATCAAGATCAGAGGCAGGGCAGAGAAAGGAGTGTGGGGGCAACTGTGCTCTCATCACAGGGAGTGTTTTCTCGTGGCCGGACCACCCTGTGGAAGGTTCTGGAGCCTGAGCCTTCTTCTCAGTGACACTGCACAGATTGGGGAATCATATATCCCACCTTGTCTGGGGAAGACCCGGTTTTTGCCAGAGTGCCAGTGTATTGTTAATAACAGTATCCTCTTGGACTCTCAAAGTGGCCATTTTATCAACAGTAGGTCTACTGCTTGAAGGGTCTCTAACAGCGGAAGCTGGTGAGATGGTCTCAGGGTTGATGTACACAGAGGTCCCTGACTGTGTGGGCAAAGGATGCTGAAATCCAATCTGCATGTCACCTCTACAGTCTTACACCCAACACAGGGCTGGGTGTGCACCAAGAGGGAGCCTTTGCTTAATGCCCTCAGGCTAGCAAAGGCCCAGGTGTGCTACCAGTGGGGTGGGTGGAAGGAGAGATGAAGGATTCAGGCAAGAGTGGTGTGTCGACATCAGGGAACTAGGCAAAGAAAGGACCCACAGAACCCCTTCCAGGCAAAGAAATGCATGCACTGCTCAAGAGAGCATCAGTGGCTTGTTGGTATTAAAAAAAGAGGCAGAGTTAACAAGCCAAATGAAACAGGGACTACATCTGTGTGCAGTTAAGACCAGATCTCTTAACTCCATTATCACCCCACATAGACCACCCTCTCCCCAGGACCCCAGAATTAGACTTTCAAAAGAGAAGAAGAGAAGGGATCCAGGACTAAAGCCTCCTCTTCCTACAAAACCCCTGAGCCTGATTTGCAGCAGTGGGGGGTGTGGAGGGGGCAAGAAGTGGAGATGAGATCAAATTTGAGACTGAAATTTTAAACTGAAAGAATTCTTATTACTGAATGTGACCAGAAAGTTATGGGATCTGCCCCAAATGCTGTTAAGGGGGAACCAGTGGTGGGAGAAAAGTTCAGCATTTTATGTTTATTTTCTGTAAGCGTCAGGGTAGGACAGGACGGGCTATAGCTGAGTAACAAACAACCCCTCAATGGATTAACAAAATAAAAATTTCTCACTGGCACCAGATCTGATGTAGGTCAGATCTTTGGTTCTCAAAATTGAGTGTGCACCAGAGCCACCTGGAGGGCCTGTCTAAGCACAGAGTCCTGGTCCCCACGCGAGAAACTCTGATGCTACGTGTCTGGGATCTGGCTCAGCTCTGCTTTTCTCATGGGCTTTCAGGTGACGCTGATGCTGCTGGTCCATGAACCATATTTCAGCAGTACTGACCCCAGAGCGGCTTGCCTCCAGGTAGACTCAAGAATCCAGGCAACTTCCATCCTGTAGCTATCGATTCTGGAATGAGAAAGTAGGAGACAGAAAAACCATACTGCTTTTAACTGTCCTGGCCCAGAAGTGACACACATCACTCCTGCTTGCAGTCCATTCAGAATTAGTCACAAGAGACAAAATCCATCTGCGATGTAGGGAAACATATGGGCTATTAATATTTAGGGAGCACTAATATCTCTGCTGGTTACTGTCAACAAGAGGTTTACTGATGAAAGCGGGCTGTCCAAGGTGAACTTTTTTTTTGGCCACACCAGGTGGCTAGCAGGATCTTAGTTCCCCAGTCAGGGAATTGAACCTTTATTCTTGGCAGTAAGAACTGGGTCCCAACCACTGGGACACCAGGGAATTCCTGACCAATGTGAACGTGCAGTCTATGCAGATAGTTGCAACATCCACATATGAAAGGCATATTCAATATTCAGAGTTTTAAATTAATATCATTGACATCTTTTCACTCAACACATTTCTATCAATACTGCATCCTTTTCAGTGGTTCCGTATTTATGCTGTGACTGTACTGTGTGTGCTTTTTTTTTAAAATTTAGAATGTTTGTGCACTGTTTTTTTGTCAGTTTGTTTTTGGCTGCACTGGGTCTTTGTTGCTGAGAGCAGGCTTTCTCTAGCTGGAGCCATCGGGGGCTTCTCCTCATCACGGTGCACAGGCTTCTCATTGCAGGGGTTTCTCTTGTTGAGGAGCGTGGGCTCTAGGCTTCTGGGTGAAGCTTATGGGCTTCAGGAGGTGTAGCAACAGGCTCAGGAGCTGTGGCTCACAGG